ACCCCAATGAGTATTTACAATATGAATACAAAAACTATTTACAAGAAACTAAAGAAAATAAGATTAGTAATAAAAAACCCACAATTACTAAATGTGACAGAAACATCCACTTCACTGGCCGAAATCAATGCACGACTATAATAGTATAAACCATTCATTCATCCCAATTTTCACACTTCGACATGCACTCATTCAGACACAACAACAAATACGAAAAAAAAAAACACTCACACGAAAACGAAAGGCGCCATCCACCAGCGAACTGACATCACTGACCACCTAACGAGCAAGGGAATGGGGAATTAAACTTAAACAAAAAACAAATGGGGACAGAAATAAATTTCTCCAATGAGCATACATACCTTTTGGCTGAAAAAGGAAACTAAATCATCAAAAGGAAAACCTGCCTAGCCTAGTTTCAGGATGGGTTGTTTTTATTGATTTAAGGCCAATTTTTCGTCAAACCGAGCTCGTCAATCAGATCATCATGCACGGTCCCTCTGAACTAAAATTTATATAATGCCCTACGAGACAACGCCTGGACGTTGGAGAGGCCATCCGACGCCCGTAAGAGGCGCTTCAAAGCAATACGACATTCACGATAGAAGGAACATTCGGCTCGGGGTAAACGGCGGGCCTCCTCCTCGCACGAATGCACACTTCTCAGGGATGGGAAGTTTTTTGTTTTTCTTCCTTCCAGAAGGCGCCAGATCATCCGAATCGCGACACATTTTGATCTAAAAGCCCGATGCGAAGCATATAAAACGATCCTCAATGCTTTGCATTTTGACCGCCTTCAGATGGATGAAGGCAACAGATCTCCTGAATGACTCTGGCAGCCTTGCCTCCCAAAAAACTCAGGAGAACAAGAGCTTTACTAACGCCAGTAAAGTGTCATACGGAAGTGGAAGTATTTTCAGTCGGTAAAGGAGAATCGGGTAGATGTGTGAAACACAAACCTCCGCCCTCCCCCAAAAAAGATTCCTCCGAGACCACAAATTAATTGAGATCAGATATCGGCCTTCCTCGCCCTCCGACCAATTCATTTCCAACTGGAGATCAGGACCGAAAAATTTCGCCGAGAATCTTGACCGGCCCATCCGTCCAGTGGAAAGGTCCGGGAAAAAAACCCTCCACGCAAATGACCGCAAGCCAACAGACTTATCGCGGTTGATCTTGGCCCCTGTCACCATCTTCATAACAAACTGATTTCTTTGCTGACTTCGTTAATCTCGGCTCTGCTCGACACAAGAACCGAAACGTCGTCAAATAGGCAGAATACCTGGCCGAGATGGTAGCACCAGGCAGGGAAATTCCGCGTAGGACCGGATTCGCCTTTAACTTGCGAAGGAAAGGTTCCAACGCAAGAACGTAAAGCAAAGGCGATAGCGGACAACCCTGACGAATGGAGATTCAATACGAAAAATTCCGATCTTTTTGCATTCACTTCCTACCAGCGCACCGGGAGTCGCATACAAAAGTCGGATCCAGGTGCGAAAGTACAACCCGAAACCGACCGCCGAAAGAACAGCCTCCAGAAAACGATGGTCAACCCTATCGAAGGCCTTGGACTGATCTAAATTGATCAGCGCGGCTTCACTGTCGACTTGCTCGATGATCAAGCGCACCATATGAAGGTTGTGCTGAATAGTCCTGCCCTTCACAGCACAAGTCTGTTCCGAGCCAATCAGACGAGACAGGACAACCTGCAAACGGTTAGCCAAGATCTTTAAATAAAATCTTTAACTCTGTGTTTAACATAGTTAAAGGGCGAAAATTACCTAACCCATCCCCACCGTTTTTGTCCTTGCGTAACAACTTGATCACACCCCTGGTGAAGCGTTGAGGTATAGACCCCTGCTTCATCCAGTTGCCGAAAATCAGTGCCAGCAAAAGGAACAAAAATGGGCGACTGCCTCAAGTAAACTTCGTATAGGAAGACCATCTAATCCCGGAGATTTGTCCAGGCCAACCTGTTTCAACGCTTCCCAGATTTCCGACTCTGTAATGGGACCCTCGCACCTAGCCGCTTCAGCTGCCTCGAGGCAGGGAAAGTCAGCCAAATAGGCGTCGAACTGAGCAGGGCTCAGACCGGGCTCCCTGGTAAAAAGATCCTGAAAGTAATCACGAAAAAATTGTCACATATGCCCCTCGTTTGTAGTCACGGTCCGCTTATCCGGCAATGTGACGCATGCGATATGCCGCCGAGATGCATTCCGAATCCTCCTCTGCACGCAATTCAGCGGCCATATTCGTCGCCTCAGAGGACATTCTTTTTAACCTAGTCCTAACTAACAGAGCTTTATCCTTCTTGATAAGCAAGGAGGCCAACTCTGCCTTAGCTAATTCTATTTCCCCACTATCACGGGATTTGACCGCCCGATCCACTTTCTGCTTTAAAGCCGTTTGCGCCGCTAATCTATCTAGATTGAGACGACGACTATAATCAGCAGCAAACGTTCTGATTTTGGATTTTAATTTATCCCACCAGGCATTTCCCGTCAGTTCCCTCTGTATCATTAGTAAAATTATTATCTTGCTCACCAAATTTGATGAGTTTAATTTCCAGTAGCCAGCCATCCTAACCTTAACCTTATCTAAGTTTACACGGACCCGGACAAGCCTATGATCCGTATAAACTATCTCATGGAAACTTGGACACCCTAAGAGCCCTACATCGACTCTCCTAAACAAAACTCGGTCTAGAATAACTAGAGGAGCCGAGCACCACTAATTAGTCCAAGTCCATGGTACCTCCCGAGGGTGCTCATTCCGGTACTTATCGACAAGATCAAACCTGTCGATAAAGTCCCGAAATGGTTTCACGTCCCGGTTGTTAGTACCCGAATTTGTCCCTATATACGATCTATATCGGGATCAAGGACGGCATTCCAATCACCCACTAAAACTATCCGAAAAAAATGTCGTCAAAACGGCTCGATCTGCCGAAACAAAGCAGGCCGCTCAGAATGGACATTGGGCGCATAAACCCCAATGAGATACCATAGTGAAAAGTTCATCAGAATAATTACTATGAAAATATTTATAGAAACGGCAAAGGGAAGTTACATTAGGGCGGTGGGAAAGTTATTGAATCCGGGATGTCAGGGCCAATAACATTGCAAATTCTTCTTTGGATTTTTATCAAGAATCTCTAAATATATAGCAGGAGCATCGGGCCATATGTAGCAGCAATATTCAAAGCCTGGTCGAATGGTAGACCAATAAATAGGTAAGATTGATCCTGATGAGAAGAATTGTCTAGCACGGTAGAGTGAATAAACTTCCTTAGAAGCAGACCTAGCAATTGATTCAATAAATTGCTTGGTTCTTGAAATTCATTAGGCTTAGTATGGTGACTTGTGGAACAAATTTAGTAAACCTCTCTTTACAGAAGGTACCCTGAATCCACAGGTTTTAACATACACTCCAAGTGAAGGTTACAGACCTAAACACACAGTGATACAGGTTAAGAATCCTTTACCCGAAATTTTAAAATCCGAAAACCTCCAGAATTCGAAAGTTTTTCAGGTGCTTACTCGATTGACATTCCACAAACGGAGAATTTCAGAAAGCACTGTGAAGGTTCCTAGGTGAGGTGCAGTTGTTGTAAGTGACCCTCATCTGCACTGGTTAGGGGTTTCCCAGCAGAACTACGTAGCCTACATTGGTGTCAGTTTTTTGTTAGTGATCGTCACGGCAACACCTTCGTTCGTGGATTACTTACCAGTTGTTTAGTAAAGATAAATTCCTGCATTTATATATTTTTGTAAGTAGTCATGGCTTTTGTACGCTCACAGAAAGTAGAAAATATTATTTTTACGTGAAATCTTAATTTCACCATTTAAAAATCTATGTGAGGATAACATGAATAGCGTTATTACCTGTATCTGTATGTACATAAAAGTTATTAAATTTTATACAAGACTACTTTCAAGGTATATGTATAAGCTGTGTTAGGAAATATAAAATGATATCGTGTTTATGGTTTGGTTTCATTCCCAAGCTGTCCCATTTTATAGATGCTATAATACAAATAGACTGTATTCCAAGACTCCCAAACTCTGAAAACCGAAGCACTTCCGGTCCCAAGAATACCGGATAAAGGATCCTCAAACTGTACTAAAAATAAGACAGGCAAAAGTTATGAATCACTTGCAACCCGTTCAAAATTAGCATCATCCCAGATTAAGATAAACATGCAAATTTGATTTGTTCAAATGATCAAACACAGATTGAATAAATTCTGGATCCTTAAACTTGTCTTTTTACTGTAGTTGATTTTTTTTTCGCTGAACCAGACGATATAATATAACGTTTTTACTTTTACAATCCACAGGAGGTATAGTATTTCGAACAGATCACTGTACAGTGATCCCTCGTTTATCGCGGCAGATTAGTTACGAGACCGGCCGCGATAACTGAATTTCCGCGATGAAGGGACGCCATATTTACAGTATTTATTTAACGTGTATTTGGACTTTTAAAACCCTCCCTGTACTGTTAACAACCCACCCATTACAGTACTCTATTAATAACAAGGACAACTATTAAGCAATAACACTTTAGACTTAAAAAAATAAAATAAAGATTGTTACTGTATTCAACACGATAGAAATTGAAGTAGAATTTGAATGATGATGGTGATGAATTTGCTGCACAGTACAAATGATGATGATGAAGCTGATGATGACTTCTACTGTGCAGCCAATAATTGTATTTTACGTCTCTTCAGACGGCGTTGCCCTTTCTATTGCTATTTTACACTTGTTTTGTTGTTCCTAGACCAGGAAATAATATTTATTATTAATATTTTAATGGGTTTAATGAAAAATGTTAGGTGTTCATATATCGCGATTTTTCTAGAATTTTCCAGAAACTCCGCGATATATTTTCCATATATATATTTAAAAAAGTCGTGAATACGCGATAGTAGAACGGCGAATTAGCGAGGGATCACTATATAATAAAAAGGTACTATTTAGAAAAAGGGACATTACCAGCTTCTTGCTGATTTGGTGTATGAAGTCACGCTAGGTTGCTGGGCGGCGCTCTTAAATTGTTGGCGGCGTTGAGCAGCAATATGAATGTTCATCTTGCGACGCTGGATTGACGCGGAACCGGAAGTTTGAATGCAAAAAAAAAGAAGGAGAAAAAATTAAAACACCAAGTCAAATCCAACAAATGAAATACTTTAAAAAATCATTCCAACCTAAACAAGGCAATAATGCAAAGGTTACAAAGGTGTTGCTAAGTGTGAGAGAATATATAAAAACACTATTAAGAAGAGAGAACATTAAATGAAAAATAATTAAGAAGACAGCAGACAATTATTGTGGTAAACCCTCTTACAGTATAATGAACTCTTCCTCCTCTTATAAATACAAACTGCGAGAGTCGGATAGTAGAAGTGAAGTGGAGTAGTAGACGCAGTGCTAAGCTACTTATTACTAACACTATTGTTTTGTATATATTTTCAATATACTTTTTCAACCTACCTTCGTCTTCCGTGTCTTTCTTTGTGGCCCCTAAACAGGCCACAACAATAATGATTAACTTTGCATTTAAATTCTTGGAGGTCAAAGTTGACAGGGAAGTAAGACTCAAAAAGAGAGTTCCACAGGCGAGAAGTGCGAGAGAAGAAACTATTAGCATAGAACTTACGGTCTAGGCAATTCAACTGTAACAAGATGAGACCTTGTTGCTCATCTAGTACTGTCCTTAAATTAGTAAAATCAAAATACCATAAGGGAAAGTACATTAGCACAATAACCATGAAAGTGTTTATAGAAATGACACATGGGAGTTACATAACTGTGGAGGGATAATGACTGCAGCCGAGATGCCAGGTCAAAACCAATAACAGTGCAGATTCTACTTTGAGATTTTATAAAGACTATCTAAATATATAGCAGAAGTACAAAACCAGATGTGACAGCAATAGTCGAATGGTAGACTTGTAGCTGTGTCAGTATAAGCAGGTCACATCTAACATCGGTTTCATATATATATATATATATATATATATATATATATATATATATATATATATATATGCCAATTTATAATTGAAAGAGGAAAATTTGCAAGAAGGATATTAATCCAAGAGTGCTCAATGTAAGTTACAGATGAAATATCACTCTATACACACACACACACACACACGCACACACACACACACACACACACACACACACACACACACACACATATATATATATATATATATATATATATATATATTATCCCTCATAATATATACTTAATAGCGGCGTTATATTACATCAAGCACTGTTTTGTTAACACCAGCACTATATACGGGATAAATATATATATATATATATATATATATATTAATGAATATGAATATTCCCTATATTTTGCTAATATTATCATTATCATTAGAGATGAGGGGAACAGATACTACACTTTTATCCCAGCTCCTTTATCAGGGAGTGAAAACGTAACTCAAGTAACACTGGTTGCTCGGTTAATTCTTTTTTTGTATTTTATCAAGAATTTTTAAATACATATCAGGAGCACGAGACCAGGTGTGACAGCAATATTCAATGCATGTTCCAATGGTAGATTTATAAATATGTGGCGAGAAAAATTGCTTAGCACGAAACAGTGAATCAACATTCTTTGCAGCAGACTTAACATTTGATTCAATATAATCTTTTCATTTCATGCCATCTTAATCTCTATCTATATCTCTGAGATGAGGTAATATGATGGTTACATGCATTCTTTACATTATTCCCACTGTTATCCTTATATTCATTGCTATATTCACGACGTTCCGGCCGTTGTACGCTCTGGTCTTCTTCAGGTGATTGGAATTTTTCTTCAAAATCTATCTATATCACTGAAATGAAGTATTAAGATTATTTGCATTATTTACATTGTTCGCACTGTTATCCTCAATTTCATTTCCATATTCGCAACGTTCCGGCCGTTGCATGCACTGTTCTTCTTCAGGTGATTAGATTTTTTCTTCAAAATCTGTCTATATCTCTGAGATGAGGTATTATGATTACTTGCATTATTTACATTATCCGGACTGTTATCTTCATCTACGCCATTTCTGACCTTAGGTCTCTGCTTGAGACCCGGAAAGAAATGTGCATACACCAGGAACCAAAGGAAATAACAATAATAATAATTCATACACTAAATTACGGGATAGATATAATAAATACTTACGTAGAGGATCACAAGTCGAGCTGCCGAAATAAAACGAGTGCGGCCACGAAATCTGTTCAAGATTAACAAGCGGAATATAAACTCGTAGAAACCAAATCTGAAATTGAGAATAAAAAAAAAAGAATTATAGAAAATGGCAAAGAAAGTAACTTGTTTGAAACTTGTGGGATCTAGGGATTATTTTCACGTCACTACAGATCGTTCAATACAGGATATTTCAAATATAGTTATCTCTTTCCTTTTGTCATGTCTGTGTAGATCACTAAATAAAGGAGGCTTATTTGAAAGTAAACATCTTTCTTTCTGTATTGGCCCAGTAGATCGTTCAATAGAGTGTCTAGTTTGCAAACGGTTGCGTTTACTTTTGCCTCGTCTCTCCATATTTTCATAACTTCACTTCCGACAACACACCGTTTGTTAAATTCCGATAAACGAAATAGGTCCTTTTTTATGCCTTGCCACTTTATCTTTCTATTGATAACTACAGCGAGTTTTGACAGCTTGCAAGTTATCTCTGTACAATGGATTAAATTCATCATCATCATCATCATCCTCTTGACTTTGTGTAATTAGAGCACCCAAATTTTTTCAGAAGGTCATATTAAATCTCCTCCACAACGATCTATCAACGACAGACATCAGTAATACTGGTATGGTCATACTTTTTTTCCTAAGCATTTCACCCTAAGCAAGGCAGGAAGCCACTAGCACGTAAGTGGTTACAGAGAGTTGGAGCGAGAGCAAATAGTAATGATAGACGAAAGAATGAAGAGAAGGATACGGGATAGATCAGGGCATCTGGAGACGTCGATTGACATTACATTTGAATAATTGGAGATTATAGTCACGAGGGAAACAGGAAAAGGGTGGAAGTTCTACAGTGTCCATTGTCTGGCATTCTTGGACTCTCTTTCTACGCCATCCTTCAACGGTGCCTTCAATGATGGTCTTGCACAGGCTGCCGTGCCTTGCAATGTGTCCAAACCACGCCATTTTCTCCGTTTGACGGTGGCAAGAAGAGGTTCCTGGTGGCCTACAAAGCTTTTCCCACAGACTCATATTGGTTTTATGTTCCCAATAGAAGATGCCAAAGAGATTTCTCATGCATTTATGCTCAATCGCTTGGATTCTTCTCTCTGTTTCTGCCAATAGTGTCCACGTTTTTACATTCATACAGGAGAATGGAGACTACCAGCGATTTTTACAGTTTGTACTTCGTTTGAAAGCTGATTTTGCTCCTCCATGTTCTTGCCAATTTGGCCATCGCTGTCATAACTGACGCAATCAGTGTACGTATTTCCTAGCTGCAAGTATAATCTTTGCATAAGATTTTTTTTACGTATTTAAAACTGGACACTTCCTCCAGTGAATTACCATCCATGGTAATGTTGACAAAGATGTTACTGTTAAGAAAAAAAGAAAGAAAGAAAGAAATGAATTTAAAGAAAGGAAGCCTCAGGCAGCGTCGAAATTATACGACAATGAGCCTGATTAGTCATCCTAGTAAAATCCTACTCGTATCATTTTGAATCGTTTGAAATCCAAGTCTGAAGTCGGAACAAGCAGGTTTTAGGACCGGGAGAAGTACAATGGAACAGGTCTTCAATTGTCAGATCCTCGTAGAGAAACAACTGCAACATCAGGACTTTGCCGATTTCAAGAAAGCGTTTGATCGTGTGTGGCATGACGGTCTTTGGCAAATCCTTAGGGAATTCAATATAGACAACGGAATGATCCAAGTCATCCAGGCCCTATATAAAGATGCCAACAGCGAAGTTCTTCAGCGAAAACAAATTGGAGGATTCTTCCTGACAACTGTCAGCGTGAGACATGGATGCATACTTTCACCCACATTGTTCAACCTTTTCTAAAGAGAATCATGCAAGAAACCATGAACGACCATAAACTGTCAATTTTTATCGGTGGTAGACCCGTCTGTACCCTACGTTTTACGACATTGACCTCATAGCAGGTAGTAATAGTGAGCTCCAGAACTTTTAAAAGAGCAGGGGTATATGGAATGGAGGTCAGCTCCGAGAAATCCAAAGTAATAGTAAATAGCACAAACAGTAAAACCTGGGATTAAATTACTAGCAGTATACCCAGGGTGGTGATTACACGTCATCGCTGGGCGGAGGGTTTTCGAGACTGAACTTAACATCTAGGGCAAAGGCCCTCTCCGATGGAATCAAAGGCTACATGTTCGTGACCAAGTCGAGGCTTCAAGTTAAAGGACATCGGTTGGAGAGGGATTGGCTCCGTCAGGTCTACATGAACGAATATCTTCGACTTTCAACCTAAATATATGTAGGTTTAGATGCTCAGCAGCGACCCTATGATCACACGCGACCGTAGGACTGTTAATGATGATGATTCAGGGCGTTGGTGCTCATGCCTCTCCAGATATTGTTTTCTTTATGCTTTCCTAATTTTCATGGCGTCTTGAAAAAAGTGTGTAGTGATCTTCCTTCGCCTTCATTATTTGGAATTCAGAGTTGTCATTCACCTAGACTGGCTGCCACTCAAGGCTTAGTAGCCTGGTCCATGTTGTTGGATATATATATATATATATATATATATATATATATATATATATATATATATATATATATATGTAACAGCAAAATTGTCCAATTAAGCTTTGAACCGTTATATCATAGAAATGATTAAAGGTATCTTACTGGAATTCTCTGTTTTTTTTATAATACTATTGGACTTATACTTTGCGCAATACAAATATATAATTACTCTCCAAGCTTAACATGATCAAATCGATCGCAAACGAAAATCATCATTAATTAATCATAGCTAAGTATCGGAAACTCATGAAGTATTGAAATAAAGTTCAAATATATATATATATATATATTATTTTCTAGGATCATTTTCCAACTTGTTTGAGATGATCTTCGCCTTCTCTAACCTTCTAATCCGGTGTCATAGATGAAATTCCTCTCTCACGTGCCAAACGTCTTGTGGATTGAGTTGGATCTTTTCTAATTGATCTCTTAAGCACTAAGTTGACATGAAGATCCCTCTTGCTGTTGTGACTTTCTGATCCAGTTTTCCTAACTACTGTTCCTTCTTATTCACCGTTCTCTTGATGGTTCTTTGAATGGACTTTGGAGATGGAAGCCAGAATATGAATGTTGGTACAGTTACTGATGACCTGAATGATGTTTTTTTCTTTCATCATTGCTCATTTAGGAAGACAGTGGAGCTGACAGAAAACGATTTTAACCTGTTCTCTTTCTAGCTGACTAACTCAAAGGATATTTGAGTGATTCTTACGACAAATGGTGTCAAGATGGCTAAACGTCTTATCTGAAAACCTGGAAAAAAAACTCAATTTGTTTTGTTTATATTTATATATATATATATATATATATATATATATATATATTTAAACATTTTGTGAGATGGACAATTATCCCATGCTGTTGCAGGATTTGGACAATTTTGCTGTTACAGGATTTGGACAATTTTGCTGTTATAGGATTTGGACACTTTTGCCGTTACAGGATTTGGACAATTTATCTGTTACAGGATTTGGACAATTTTGCTGTTACAGGATATGGACAATTTTGCTGTTACAGAATTTGTGTCTTTTTTTGCCGTTGCAGGATTTGGACAATTTTGCTGTTACAGAATTTGGACAATTTTGCTGTTACAGAATTTGGACAATTTTGCTGTTACAGGATATGGACACTTTTGCTGTTACAGAATTTGGACAATTTTGCTGTTACAGGATATGGACACTTTTGCTGTTACAGAATTTGGACAATTTTGCTGTTACAGGATTTGGACAATTTTGCTGTTTCAATGATTTATCTTCCGACTCCAAATTTCGCAGACACAGATCCGCTCGCCCAAGTAAAATAAATCTGTTGAATTTTTTAATACTTATTGTATTTATTTATGTATTTATTAAACTTTTAGTTTATCTACTGACGATTGATGCTCCATTTTTCTAATATTAAACTCTTTATTTGTAAAAATCTGCTCGCCTTAAACGCGTTATCTTCCAGTAATCGACGTGTTTTATCAGGCGTAAGTCATCTTTGTTATCATATATACTGAGGGCAAGAAAAACAGGGAGAAACCTAGAGAGAGTTTCTACGTGTTTATATATGCGTGGGTGTGTGAGTGCGTGCCCGTGTGTGTGTGCGCGTGTGTGCGTTTGTGTGTGTGATGCTGATAGGAAGGCAAACAGGGAGATAACATCAAGCCTGAGAGATTGAAAGAAAATGGCCACAGCATAAAGAGGGCAATCTGAAATAGAATTTAAACAAAAATGTACTCGTTGGCATAAATCCTTTGTTCAAAAGTGTGACATTTTCAATCTTATTGACGCGTTACCTTGGAATTGATGGGCATATTTCAATTCATTCTTTTTCTTGAACTCCTCATTTTATTTAGTCTTGCACACTTTTGTTTCCCGTTTCTTTTTTCCAACTTACCTATTTACTCCATGTGCAGCTCTGAAGAACCGCACAGTAAACGCTCGGACAATAACGGCCTTACTTGAAAAGGCCCCGAAAAAATGTTTTTCTTTTTTTTTTTTTAATATCTTTCACCTAATACAAGGCCCAAAGGCCACTCAAGGTAGAGGGTTACTTAATGTTGTTGCCGAGGAATCAAAGCAGCAGAATTTTTTCTTTGAATTGGAAACATTATGCCTGAGCAGTTGGCTCAGACTCCGAAACAATCTCGATCCGTTGGGAGGACTAAAAGTCCCTTTGGGAGAGGTAGGGTAACAAAGGCTGCGAGGCCAACAAAAAAGTGATAATAATTACGATGCTAACCGTAGTATTCTACAAGACCAAAAAGAATGAGAAAAATGGTGGAAGCATTGTGTTAGGTCAATTTCCAAGTGAGGAGAATCTATGTGCGTGCCAGACGCGAAAATCTTATTTTAACCGTTGTGGCTCTTACCTGGGATCGAACACCAATTTCAGTCACCTGAGTAGAGAACTGGTGACTATTTCAGGAACAATACGGGTAGCAATGAACGGGTGTTATTCAATCATATGCTAGAACTGGATATAGTTTTCCAACCACCTTTTTACGGGTGGTATAACGTACTGATAATATAAT